AAGCAAGAAATTGCAAAAAGAAAACCCCCGGAATGGAGCAGGAATGAATGGACTGGTGCTTGGTTGATTGGCAGCCTCTACACTGTGGGAAGGAACCAGTTAAATTTGGCGGCCGCTGAGGGGTAGCACTACATGCATAAAGCCAATTGGTTGCACCAAGACCCCTCTGTGAGTATGGTCCCAGCCTAGCAGAGCTCCTGTTTTTGAAAGATATATATCAATGAATACATTGAGAGCAGTTATGCCTTGGAAGTAGCCCCTTCCTACTTAAAGGTGCAGGGACACAACATTCTACATTTGCTCAACGGCAGAAGGAGCATACGTACATCCTATGATTGGCAGCACCATTTAGTGACCCTAAGTCGGTATACATTGCATTTTCCTCATTCACTCTTTCAAAATACAGAGGAAATAGCGTGTGAACACATGCATGGATGAACAGCTTTGGGATTTCTTTTTTTATACATACACCCTCTATTGTCTATCGGCATTATTCAAACAGGCAAAACTATTTTAACGCCGCTTGCTGGTCCGTATAACATATATGGTGGCAGAGCGTGCTCTTGCACTGGATCATGGACCTATTTAGTGATCCCGATGCTCATGGCAGGGGTCACGTGCACGCACCTGCCTGGAGGTGCTGTAATTTGGTACAGCACCGATCAGTCACAAAAGGTCATAGGGTCCCAGGCGTAATTACAACATAAAGTAGAAAATATAGTATTTTTTTGTTTATATTGCAAAAAAAAAAAAAAACAGTGGTGATCAAATATCACCAAAAAAAGCTCTGTTTGTGTGAAAAAAATTATAGAAATTGTTGTTTGTTTTTGGGTACCGTGCCAGTTAAAGCAGCGCAGTGCTGAAAAGCAAAAAAATGGTCATGAAGGGTGTAAAACCTTTCGGAGGTCAAGTGGCTAAAGTTATACATACATGTTTAATATTGAATAATATGAAGAAACTTGTGTTTTTATTTGTTAAATATTGATATTTTTAAATATGGCTGTTTGATTACGGATTATCTCACCTCACACTATAGAAAAAATGAAGCCTGTATTTTTTAAAATGTGCCGTCTCACTTTTCCTCATTGTTTTATGGATATCACCATTTGATCTTCATGCTTTCCTGGTGTAATGATCCTTCATTGTGTGTGTTTCTGGTAATGATATTTCATGCTTTCCTGGCCTAATGTGATATCTAGAGATGAGCGAAGTATTCAAAAATTTCGATTTCGGCTGATTCGGGCGTAATTTCAGGAAGAAATTCGATTTTTCGATGCAAATTTATTCGCTACGAGATAACTTATAAAAAGGGTTTCTAGGGCTTCAGAGAGCCTTTAAATTAGTGCAGAACACTGTACCTTTAATTTAAATGCCCTTGGAGATGAGGAAGGAGAAGGAGAAGGAGAAGGATGAGAAAAGGAGAAAGGAGAAGGATGAGAAGAAGGAGAAGGATGAGAAGAAGGAAAAGGATGATAAGAAGGAAAAATGAAAAAGGAGAGAGGATGAGAAGAAGAGAAGGAGAAGGATGAGAAGAAGGAAAGGATGAGAGAAGGAGAAGGAGAAGGAGAAGGATGAGAAGGAAGAAGAAGAATGGAGAAAGAAGGATGAGAAGAAGGAGAAGAAGAAGGATGAAAGAAGGAGAAGGAGAAGTATGAAAAGAAGGAAAGGAGAAGGAGAAGAGATGAGAAGAAGAAAGGAGAAGGATAGAAGAAGGAATAAAAGAAAAAGGAGAAGGAATGAAAAGAAGAAAAGGATGAGAAGAAGGATGAGAAGAAGTAGAAGGATGAGAAAAAGAGAAGGAGAAGGTTATGAGAAGGATGAGAAGAGAAGGTTGAGAAGAAGGAGATGTAGGATAAAGAAGGAGAAGAGAAGGTAGAAAGAAGGAGAAGGATTTAGAAGAATGGAGATTTAGTATGAGAAGAAGAGAAGATTTAATGAAAGGATGAGAAGAAGGATGAATAGAAGATGAAAGAAGGATGAAAAGAAGAAGAAGGAGAAGGATGAAAGATGGTGAGAAGAATGGAAAGGAAGAAGAAGGAGAAGGAAATGAAAAGAGGATGGAAGAAGGATGAAAGAAGAAGGAGAGAAGATAGGAAAAGGATGAGAAGAAGGAAAGATGAAAGAAGGATGAGAGAAGGATGAAATGAGAAGAAGAATGAGAAGAAGTGAGAAGGATGAAAGAAGGAAAGGAGAAGAAGAAGGGGAGAAGGATGATTTTAAGAAGGAGAAGGATGAGGAAGAAGGATTGAAGATAAATTAGAAAGGAGAAGGATGAGAAGAATGTGATAGAAGAGAAGGATGAGAAGAGAATTGGGAGAAGAAAGGAAAAGGAAGGCAAGATGAGAAGAAGGAGAATTAAAAGATAAGGATGTTTTAGGAAAAGTAATAAGAAGTTTGTAGATGAAAAAGGAAAAGAAAGATAGAAAAAAATAAGAAGTCGTAGAAAAGAAAAAAAAAGATATTGTGCGAAGGACAGTTCGTGACATTTTCTGTCCTATTCCACTGACAGTTCGGGATTTCACTCCATATCAGCGGTTGAAACATTGTTCTATTTTTATTCCATAAATTTTCTTTGCAGATACACTTGCACTTGGAATTGTTGGCACTTTTTCCGCTTGCCAATTATTTTATGTTTTCATCCTTTCCTTCAAGGTACATTCTTCATCCTCAGAATAGCATCCTGAAGATTCTGCAGATGACTGGGGGTATGAGGAAGAAGAAGAAAAGAAGAAAGTAGGATGAAAATAAAATTAATTCCAAAGCCAAAAAAAGTTATCTGCAGACTCCTCTAAATGTATCTGCATAATAGCGGAGCTCTGCAAATATTTTTTGCCGGTATGGAATTATTCTTTAAAAAGTTCGTCTTCGCATGACATTCCTACTCTTCTTCTTCTCAAATCAAATTTTTCGAAATGCTGAAAGCTTTTTATCGTAATTCCGAACGCCTGGTTCCTTCGCTAATCTCTAGTGATAATGTCACTATGGACTAATATTGTATTTTTATGTTTTCAATAAAATCTACTGTCAGTTGTGTATTGAATGAAGATGAGGCCCAGGATCTTAGATATCATCTGCAACACTTTGTATCTCATTTGAAACTTCAGTAAATTGGCCCCTATACTGATGGAAGAATATTTCTGCTGGTTACCTGAAAATAATACATTTTTGGGGACCAGAAAATTTCAAAGTTCTTAAAAGAATTATACCGGAATTATATAATATTATTTTAGAAGGATTTTATATATTATTATAATGATTGGTTATAAGGATTTATATATTATTTTAATGAACAGATTTATGCGTCAACATCCTGTGAAAGAGCTTACAATCTAGAAGAATGGGGCTGGTGGTATGAAAAGGTAATAACTGTGAATGGACTTCATAATAAAAGAATGAAATTATTAGTACTGAAGGAGTTTAGTCTTCCCTGAAGAAGAGAATGAAAGAAGATGACCAAAAGTGGGCATGAGTAGGCGATATCTGATAGATTGGGGTAAGAGTTCCAGAGAAGATGGCAGAAGCTCAGGAGAAGTATGTCATGGAGATAATGGGAGGAAGAATTCTGAAGACAAGGGAGCTGAGAGAGCATGAAAGGTCGTGCGAGGGCAGAGATGACAGTTTGGGTGATATTTGGAACAAGATCGGGTGATGTAATTTGGGGCGGAAGTTATGAAATGGTTTTATAATTATATTTTATGTTAAAGTTGATTTTATTTGTTGGGCAATGGTAAGCCAGTGGAGGGAATTGGCAGAAGAGGGGTGAAAAGGAGACACTTTGAGTGGAAAGATGGATGGATTGGCAGAAGAGGGGTGGAGGACACTGAGAAAGAGGCCATGGAGGGAATTGGAAGAGGAATGGAATGACATTGAGTGAATGAAAATAAGAAGAAGGATTGGAGAGATGAAAAGAGGAACTGATGGAAAGTGGTGAGTATGAAGAGAAGAATGAATGCCAGTGGAGGGATGGCCGAAAAGAAGAATGGACATGAAGAAGAATGAAAAGATTGGCAGAGAGAGATGAGGAAGTGAGTGGAAGAGAATGGAAGGATTGGCAAGAGAAGATGGAGGACACTAATGGAAGCCATGAAGGGATTGGCAAGAGGGTGTGGAGGACACTGAGATGAAAGGATGAAAAGAGTAGATTGTAGGACACTAAATGAAGCCAGTGGAGAGGATTGGCAGAAGAGGATAGAGGACAGCACTGAATGGAGGCCATGTGGAGGGAATGAAAAGAGGGAGGAGGACACTAATGAAGCTAGTGAGGGATAATAGAGAGAAGAATGGAGGACACTAAGTGGATTAAATTCAGTGAAGGTGATTGGCAAGAGGGGTGGCGAGGTGCACTGAGGTGGAGGCCAAGTTGCGAGGATTGACTGTTCTCTGAGAGGAGTGAGAGGACTGAGTGAGCCAGTGGAAACATTGTAGAGAGGGGTTTCTAAGGACATTGTACTGGATGGCCAGTGGAGGGATGTGGCAGAGAGAGGATGAGGAATATCAGTGTTTCAATGCCGTGGGATTGATTCAAAGAGGGGTAGAGGACACTGAGTGGAGCCAGGTGGAGGGATTTGGCAGAGATTTGAGATTTAGGCCAGTGAAGGTATTGGCAGAGAGAGGTGGAGGACACTGAGTGGAGGAGGCCAGTTTGCCGATTGGCAGGTTGGAGGTGGCAATATGGAACGGTTATAAGTTAATGATGTGGAGTTGACAATGATCAGTCTCCTTGAGTGGCAAATGAACAAACGTTTCACAAAACATCAAAATCAGTTTCTTAAAATATGTTTTCTTCTTTACTGAGAGGTATGGAAGAATTTGCTCTCCAACATTTGCCGGACCTTCAGAATAACTCATCAGTAAGTAAACGTCTTCATTATTGGGTTGAGGAGTCACCAAGGCTACAGACTTGTCCTCTTCAACTTCTTTATGGTCACCTATGCTGTTACTCTAACCTGCAATCTCTTGTCATCTTGTTGGTGTTCTTCTCTAGACTCTCACATTCTCCTATGTATGTGTTCCTCTCCAATCTGTCACTGTCGGAGGTCTTGCTCACCACAAACATTGTCCCCCCCATGCTCCATATATTACTTAGTAACGGGGCAATTATTTCTCTTGTTGGATGTTTCGTACAATTTTTCTTATTTGGTGTGTTTGTGGTGACAGAGAGCTTCCTCCTCTCAGCAATGTCCTATGACAGATTTTTGGCGATCTGCAAACCTCTTCATTACACACTGATTATGGACCCCAGGCTGTGCCTTTGTTTGATCCTTGTCTGCTGGATGTTGGGATTCCTGATCATGACCATTGCTTTATGTGTTGTGAACACTTTGTATTTCTGTAGAGAAAATATTGACCATTTCTATTGTGATTTTATTCCGATATTGAAGCTTGCCTGTTCGGACACTTCCATGGTTGAAATAGTTACATGTTTCCTTTCATCCTCAGCTACTATGTTCCCATTCCTGGTAATCATTGTTACTAGAGATGAGCGAATTTTTCAAAAATTCGATTCGCCTGATTCGCCGAATTTTCCGAAAAAATTTGATTCGATTCGAATTTATTCGCTGCAAATTTTACTTATAAAAAGGGTTTCTAGGCTTCAGAGAACCTTTATATTAGTGCAGAACACTGTACCTTTAATTTAAATGCCCTTGGAGTCTGCTGGGGAAGAGAAATAATAACTGTCAGTCAGTATGACATGCAGATGAGTGCCGTCGATCTTAGAATCACCGCACATTTCACTCATTTGGGCAGTCACGGGGCCAAAGAAGAAGAAGGAGAAGAAGAAGAAGAAGAAGAATGAAAAGAATGAAAAGAAGAAGAAGAATGAAAAGAATGAAAAGAAGAAGAAGAAGAAGAAGAATGAAAAGAATGAAAAAGAATGAGAAGAAGAAGAAGAAGAATGAAAAGAATGAGAAGAAGAAGAAGAAGAATGAAAAGAATGAAAAGAAGAATGAAAAGAATGAAAAGAAGAATGAAAAAGAATGAAAAGAAGAATGAAAAGAATGACAAGAAGAATGAAAAGAAGAATGAAAATGAAGAAGAAGAATGAAAAGAAGAATGAAAAGAATGAAAATAAGAATGAAAATAAGAAGAAGAATGAAAAGAAGAATGAAAAGAAGAATGAAAATAAGAAGAAGAAGAATGAAAATAAGAATAATTCCAGTAAAGCAAAAAGTGTATGTGCAGAGTTCCTCTATTTCTGACAGTTCTCTGACAGTTCTTTCACATTTACAGCGATTGAAACATTGTATCTATTTGTTTCCTAATAAAAACATCTGTATCCTAAATGGAAAACAAATACATACAATGTTTCAACCGCTGGAAATGTGAAAGAACTGTCAGACAGCTGTCAGAAATAGCGGAGCTCTCTGCAGGGACATTTTTGCCGGCTGTAGAAGGGATGAAAACGGCCGATCAGGAAAAATTTGATTCAACCATCCGAAGTTGGCAAAAATTCGGATTCGCTGCGAATCAAATTTTTCCTGAAATTCGAAACGAATTCCACTTCGCCTGATTCGATTCGCTCATCTCTAATTGTTACTTATGGGTTTATTATCCGTGCCATTGCTGGGATTTCATCTTCCACTGGCAAAGAGAAAGCTTTCTCCACCTGTAGTTCCCACCTGGGAGTCGTTTTCACATATTTTACACCACCATGATTGTGGTCTATGTGGTCCCTACCTGGACATTTTTTGACAGCGAACAAAATTGTATCTCTGCTGTATACAGTGATCACCCCACTAGTGAACCCCTTTATTTACACCCTGAGGAACCAAGAGATCAATGCAGCTGTAAGACAAACCTTAACATCCATAACAAGACTCTAACGAAATATATCAATCTTAATGGGAACCTGTTATTTGGAAAAGACTGAAGTCCAAGCACTCTAAATAGGAAGACGAGTAATACTTACCTGTCCAGGGGCCAGTATAAATTCTCTATTTAGCAAAAACTTTCCCATTATCTCCAAAATTCAGATGACTAAGATGTGACGTACATACCATATTTCTG